CCAACTTCTGTATATAATGTATTATAAACTGGGTGGTTCGAGCCCTGAATGCTGATTGGCTGACAGCCGTGGTATATCAGACCGTATACCACGGGTATGACAAAACATTTATTTGTACTGCTCTAATTACGTTGGTAACCCGTTTACAATAGCAATAAGTCTCCTTGGGGGTTTGTGGTATATGGCCAATATACCACGGCTAAGGGCTGTATCCAGGCACTCCTCGTTGCGTTGTGCGTAAGAACAGCCCTTAGTCATGGTACATTGGCCATATACCACAGCCCCTTGGGCTGTATTGTTTAATTATATACACATTGATCATCTGTGCCAAATGGAGAGAGAGACAGATTTACCCTTTGACCCTAGGTGACCATGTGACCATTTCACTGGTGGTAGTATGGTATGCTGGTGTGCAGGAGGGGTGAGTGTGAGTAAGAGTCCTCTTATGCACACAACATGGGAGTTCACACACACACACACATACACAGAAGATGCACGCATCTACACACACACACAATCACAGAAGATGCACGTACACACACACACACACACACACACACACACACACAGGCTCTCCCAGCAATGTGCCTGAGGATACTTAGTCCTGAGCAGTTATTCAGCAGTAGTCCAGCCGACAGTTATTATTGTGATGATAATCATGAATCAAAGACATGGCAACGTCCCAACTGGCAGTTCTCTATAGCAGTGATGTTCAACTCTGACCCTACGAGGTCCGGAGCCTGCTGCTTTTCTGTTCAACTCTGACCCTACGAGGACCGGAGCCTGCTGCTTTTCTGTTCAACTCTGACCCTACGAGGACCGGAGCCTGCTGCTTTTCTGTTCAACTCGGACCCTACGAGGACCGGAGCCTGCTGCTTTTCTGTTCAACTCTGACCCTACGAGGACCGGAGCCTGCTGCTTTTCTGTTCAACTCTGACCCTACGAGGTCCGGAGTCTGCTGCTTTTCTGTTAAACTCTGACCCTACGAGGTCCGGAGCCTGCTGCTTTTCTGTTCAACTCTGACCCTACGAGGTCCGGAGCCTGCTGCTTTTCTGTTCAACTCTGACCCTACGAGGTCCAGAGCCTGCTGCTTTTCTGTTCAACTCTGACCCTACGAGGTCCGGAGCCTGCTGCTTTTCTGTTCAACTCTGACCCTACGAGGTCCGGAGCCTGCTGCTTTTCTGTTCTACCTGTTTAATTACACCACCTGGTGTCACAGGTCTAATTCAGTCTCTGATTAGAGGGGAACGACAAAACAATGAAATGGAACTGGCGTCAATGTCCAGATTTGAGTTTGAAGGCTCTATATAGTGCACTACTTTTGACCACAGCCTTATGGGCCCTGATCAAAAGTAGTGCACTATTGTAGGGAATAGGGTGCCATTTGGGACACAGCCAAGGTCAAAGGTCAACAGAGATAAGGGTTGGAGAGAGTCACATGGTTATAGTTAGATACAGGAACAGCACCATGAGTGAGAGTGAGAGAGGCATCCTATTCCTTATACAGTGCACTACTTTTGACCAGGTAACCACAGGTCTCTGGTTAAAAGTTGTGAACTATGTAGGGAATGGGGTGCCATTTGGGACGCTGTCTGAGAGAGGTACAGTACAGTACAGTACATTGAAGGTTATGTTAAGGAGGTCCAGGTCTCACAATGAGAATGACAACAGAGGGCAGCATCATTAACTTGTCAATAACATCACTGAGAATGAAAATATATGACTGGGAATGTCTATCAATCAAAGCTGGGTTCATTTTCCTGGAAATTGGCCTCTGTCACTAATGCAGGCTGGAGAAGAATAGCCTAACTCATCCAACATCATTCCTATTGGAACATTTCTCTTTTAGGAGGATACTTATGGTCGTTACAGAAACCCTACATTTGATGACCATTGCAGACGACAATAACATTTGGAAAAAGCATCCAAAGCTGCAAGCAATTATCGACTAAAAGGTGCAACAACAAAACATAATTTGACAAGCAGGCTGAAATCAAAGGGGGATAGAGCAGGCTGGGCATACGGTGGCCACTGACATCCTTTTGGATCTCATTTCTTCAGTCTCAAAGGCCAAACTGCCTATAGCTTTTAGATAATACTGGACTATGATAGTGACAGAGGAAACCCTCCCAATCATATATCAAACATCCGTAGATGAGAAACAAATGACCCACTGGGCACACACTGGTTGAATCAACGTTGTTTCCACGTCATTTCAATGACATTCCAATGAAATGACGTGGAACCAATGTGGAATAGACGTTGAATTGATGCCTGTGCCCAGCAGGGAAGATCTCCATGCAGAGAGAGAGAGAGAAGAGAAGAGGGAGAGAGAGGAAGAGAGAGAGGAGAGAGAGAGAGAGAGAGAGAGAGAGAAAGGAAGAAGAGAGAGAGAGAGAGATTAGAGATATCAGATAGAAGAGAGAGAGAAGAGAGAGAAATAGAGAGAGAGAGAGTAGAGAGAGAGCTTAGATAGCCTGGATCGTCGTCAGAGGCTATCGATATGTTTACTGTCGTCTCGCACACCTAGATCTCTCGAGACACCCTCTACGAGAGATATCTAACAACAAAAGATAGACTCTTACATGATCCTCTGATCGCATAGACTACCATGGCACAGTAGACCAAGACAGCGATAGAGAGAGCATGCAGCAACAAACAGTCAAAGAGCAAAAAGGTCTTATTCTAGAGTGGGATACAAACCTCCAACATTAAATTGCTATGCCTGATATAAATAGTTTCATCCTCATGTTTCTTAGCTCTTTTCTGTGAAAAACGAAGAAGAAGAAAACAGGAACAAGTTGGTCTCCTTCATTCTCGTTTTTTTTTTTTACTTTTCCTGTTTGACCTGCAAGCATCCGGTGCCTTTGCTCCTCACGGTGGGAGAAGTGGGAGATGGATCAAATCATAGATGCTATAGGAAGTGCAGCGAAGCAGTGTGCAGGGTGAGTGCAAAGGTCCAGGGGTGATGATGGTCACCAGCGGAGACCGCGCGGGTCGTACACAGTTACCAAAACCTGGTGGTTTCTGTATTTCAGGACTAGCTGTGAGAGAACCACATGTTGACAGATAAATCCACCATATACATACAGTACAGGCTGCGGCTGAGTAGTAGTAGTAGTCATGCATTATCGTCGTGCATTATCATTTTTTATGCATTACCAAAAGCATCATTCACTGCCTTATTTGATTGACTCTTAACTGAGGTGGCAGACAAGTGCAGCTGAGGGCCTTTCCTCATTATACTGTCTAGAGCACAGGCTTGGTCAATCCAGATTCGTTCACTTACAGGCACCTCATTCATTTGGTTTATCCCTCTAGTCCTATTTGGTGAAGACAGTAAAGCTTTACGTATTGCCTCTGCAAGGCTGATACGGTTGGATAAGTAGCCTCCACATATTTGTTTCAAAACAAATGGTAGAAACTAGAGAGAAAAAAAAACGGATTTTCTTTCTCCGTAACTGTCCAAATAAGTATTTTGATCATTGTGAACAGATGAAGTCGTTAAGAAGGGAACTCCGCAGCCAAACAGCTCTGTCTTGTATAATGACACTGTACAGTAGATATACAAGGATGGAAGACAGAGAAATAAAACGGACCAAAAATAAACATTACGAACAAACAAAAAATGGTGTATTTTTACCCCTTTTGCAATATAAATAGTTTAAAATATAGGGAGAGATGCGAGGATGAGGATGGTGACTCATGCAAAACACTGAGGCTGTGTCCCAAATGGCACCCTATTCCCTATGGGTCCGGTCAAAAGTAGTGCACTAGATAGGGAATAGGGCTCTGGTCTAAAGTAGTGCACTAGATAGGGAATGGGGCTCTGGTCTAAAGTAGTGCACTATATAGGGAATAGGGTGCCATTCGGAACACAAGCTAACTGTAGACAGATATCTAACCTTCCTCACTCGCACCATCTCCGTGCTGGTTCTCTCCCGGGGCGAATGCTGCTGATCCCCCAGAGGAGTGAAGAGAGATCCCCCAGAGGAGGGAAGAGAGATCCCCCAGAGGAGGGAAGAGAGATCCCCCAGAGGAGAGAAGAGAGATCCCCCAGAGGAGGGAAAGAGAGAGATCCCCCAGAGGAGGGAAGAGAGATCCCCCAGAGGAGGGAAGAGAGATCCCCCAGAGGAGGTCCCAGGAAAGAGAGATCCCCCAGAGGAGGGAAGAGGAAGAATCCCCCAGAGGAGATAGAGAGAGAGATCCCCCAGAGGAGAGAGTAAGGAGAGAATCCCTCCCCAGAGGAGGGAAGAGAGATCCCCCACCAGAGGAGGGAAGAGAGGGGAAGTCCCCCAGAGGGAAGAGAGATCCCCCAGAGGAGGGAAGAGAGTAGGGGAGGGAAGAGAGGATCCCCTCAGAGGAGTGAGAGAGAGATCCCCCAGAGGAGGGAGAGAGGGGGAGATCCCCGAGAGGAGAATGAAGAGAGATCCCCAGAGGAGAGAAGAGAGAAGGCCAGAGGAAAGAGTAAGGGGGTTAGAGCCCCAAAAATGGGTCTAGTGCTTCCTGTTCTTCTTCATATCAATATTTAGTCCGACACCCATCTGGTAGAACATGTTTTAGACGTACACACATATGTTAATATGGTGAAACGTGCATCTCATGTTGTGGATCCACCCCCCCCCCCCCCACCCACGCATCAATGTTTTATTTGTTTAGTCTGACACACACAGAAACGTCATGCGTCTCATGTTTGAACCCACTCCACGTATCAACAGTTTAGTCTGACAGACATACAGTAGTCTCTGCACAGCTGCTGTGAGTCTGGCAAGCGAGACTAAACATACAGTAGTAATACCTGTGTCTAACGTATATTTTAGTCAGACACACACAAACAGTTAAGATGTTAAAATCCCACGCATCTGTATTTTAGACAGACAGACAGTAGTAAAGCCTCTTCGTATTATAACCCTCCCCATGCATATAACAGTCAGACTCATACAGTTAATTCATGCGTCTCATGCTGTGCTAGCTGGGCGTTGCTAAAGGCCACAAACCTGGCTCTTTCTCTCTCTCCCTGTCCCGTTGGTGGTGGTGACTGCAGGGGCATGATGTCTGCTTCTCCTGGCTCCCTCCCTCTGTAGTGGTGGCAATATCACACAGACAGCTCAGAGCTCACACACTACAGTGGGCTGCCAACAGGGCGGCGCTGCTACCCTCCGACTGGAGCACGGGCTATAGGTATACCCAAATTATAAACTCAGCAAAAAAAGAAACGTCCTCTCACTGTCAACTACTTAACATGTGTAAATATTTGTCTGAACATAACAAGATTCAACAACTGACACATAAACTGAACAAGTTCCACAGACATGTGACGAACAGAAATTGAATAATGTGTCCCTGAACAAAGGGGGGGGGGTCAAAAGTGACAGTCAGTATCTGGTGTGGCCACCAGCTGCATTAAGTACTGCAGTGCATCTCCTCCTCATGGACTGCACCAGATTTGCAAGTTCTTGCTGTAAGATGTTACCCCACTCTTCCACCAAGGCACCTGCAAGTTCCCAGACATTTCTACGGGGAATGGCCCTAGCCCTCACCCTCCGATCCAACAGGTCCCAGACGTGCTCAATGGGATTGAGATCCGGGCTCTTCGGTGGCCATGGCTGAACACTGACATTCCTGTCATTCCTGAAATCACGCACAGAACGAGCAGTATGGCTGGTGGCATTGTCATGCTGGAGGGTCATGTCAGGATGAGCCTGCAGGAAGGGTACCTCATGAGGGAGGAGGATGTCTTCCCTGTAATGCACAGCGTTGAGATTGCCTGCAATGACAACAAGCTCAGTCCGATGATGCTGTGACACACCGCCCCAGACCATGACGGACCCTCCACCTCCAAATCGATCCCGCTCCAGAGTACAGGCCTCGGTGTAACGCTCATTCCTTCGACGTTAAACGCGAATCTGACCATCACCCCTGGTGAGACAAAACCGCGTCTCGTCAGTGAAGAGCACTTTTTGCCAGTCCTGTCTGGTCCAGCGACGGTGGGTTTGTGCCCATAGGCGACGTTGTTGCCGGTGATGTCTGGTGAGGACCTGCCTTACAACAGGCCTACAAGCCCTCAGTCCAGCCTATCTCAGCCTATTGCGGACAGTCTGAGCACTGATGGAGCGATTGTGCGTTCCTGGTGTAACTCGGGCAGTTGTTGTTGCCATCCTGTACCTGTCCCACAGGTGTGATGTTTGGATGTACCGATCCTGTGCAGGTGTTGTTACACGTGGTCTGCCACTGCGAGGACGATCAGGTGTCCGTCCTGTCTCCCTGTATCTCTGTCTTAGGCGTCTCACAGTACGGACATTGCAATATATTGCCCTGGCCACATCTGCAGTCCTCATGCCTCCTTGCAGCATGCCTAAGGCACGTTCACGCAGATGAGCAGGGACCCTGGGCATCTTTCTTTTGGTGTTTTTCAGAGTCAGTAGAAAGGCCTCTTTAGTGTCCTAAGTTTTCATAACTGTGACCTTAATTGCCTACCGTCTGTATGCTGTTAGTGTCTTAACGACCGTTCCACAGGTGCATGTCCATTAATTGTTTATGGTTCATTGAACAAGCATGGGAAACAGTGTTTAAACCCTTTTACAATGAAGATCTGTGAAGTTATTTGGATTTTTACGAATTATCTTTGAAAACAGGGTCCTGAAAAAGGGACGTGTCTTTTTTTGCTGAGTTTACATGTCTATGGATATGCCTCGCGTTAATAAAGCTACTGTATAAACCTCTGTCAAATAGTGACACTCTATAAAGCCTATATAAATGAGTGAACTGCTCTCTTGCATTTCAATTTGTTGCTAGCCATTTTGTTATGCTCGTGTAGTGTCATCCTCGTGTAATCAACCTGGTTCAATGAGTGTCCAATTAAATACTGTACAATGTGCTCCATAGTAACCACCAAGTATCCCTGTTACATCCCAAGATGCAGTGTGTTCTGATTCTGTGAGTGTTATACCTTGAACTCCGGGGTGGACTGTGGTCTGGAACTCTGTGTCTTGGAGACCTCTGTCACCTTGCTCTCCACCTTGCTCTCCTCCTTGGCCTTCCTCTCTGCTGAGCGGGACTGGCGGCCCGCGGGGGTGGAGGCTTCTCGCCGCTCACCGCAGGGCAGGGCCGAGGTCACAGGGGACGGGGCTGCATCCCCGGGAGAGATGGGGGACATGATGGGAGCGCTGACCGGACGAGTGCTCTTGTCTGGAGTGGACACCATGGGCTGTAGGGGACTGGGAGGAGTGGAAGGACGGCGAGAAGGAGAGGAGAGGAAGGAGGAGAGAGAGGAGAGGAGAGGAGAGAGAGGAAGAGAGGAGAGGAGAGGAGAGAGAGAGAGAGGGGCTCGAGGAAGGGAAGGAGGAGAGGATACTAGATTGGAGCAGTCGGCCGGGCTCTTCTTCGCTAGCTCCTCAGCATCAGCTCTGCTATCTCGCTCACATCAGGTCTCCTGCATATTCACATTCACATAATGTCTCACCTCACTAATGACTCCCTCAACAATAATGTCTCAACTCCTAGACTCACACTCAACATAATGACTCACACTCAACATAATGACTCACACACAACATAATGACTCACACTCACATAATGACTCACACCAACATAATGACTCACACTCAACATAATGACTCACAACAACATAATGACTCACACTCAACATAATGACTCACACACAACATAATGACTCACACACAACATAATGACTCACACTCAACATAATGACTCAAACTCAACATAATGACTCAAACTCAACATAATGACTCAAACTCAACATAATAAAATACTCACACACACACACCTCATTAAACATGTACAAATTGCCCCATACATACGGCACCTTATTGAAGACAGTTACTCGTGCAACCACCAGGGTGCAGCGCAATTACATAGACTTGAGGCTGTACCTGTGGGGATGGGAGTTGGGACTGGGATAGGCTCTGGAGGATGTGAAGGATCCAACAACACAAACCAGTCATCCTTCACTGGCACTGAAGAGAACCGATCAGAGACAGAATCCTATGGCCTGAGACTGGTGGCATGTGACCACACAAAGTGCCATACCTCTTTCTGTAGAAGTAACATTCTTCTTTATAATCTGCTGCAAAGCCAAGTGAGAACACAATGGGGCCAGAACAAGAGATCCATAGCTGAGCAAAGTACCTCAGAGGAAGAAGCAGACAATATCAAGCTGTGGTTATTATAAGAGAAGCGTGGGGGAAGATGTCACGATATCCTCACAGTGAGACGTTTCTGCTTGTGAAAGTTAAGACCATTATAATTTATAAAAGTTAGGACCATTCTTCTTCTGCTGTAGCGTCATAGAGTTATTTTAAGCCTCTGCCATTTACCGCACAGAACAGTGGGTGTGATGGGACCGACGGGATCCCATAGGAAGTCATATTGATTTTTATTTAGCTCACACACAGGCTCAGCGGCTGCCGGTGGCTAATAACGTAACATTGTCCTCAGGAACCAAAGCAAAGCCACATATCCCAGCAGACATTTCGAGTTGAAAACACAACACAGCAGCTTGTTAAGTGTGGCGTTGTCTGTTGAAAAACAAGGTCAGTTCCTGGGTGAGTAAGCGCAGGGCGGAAGGCTCTCCTTCAAGCTACTCTTCCTGTGTGTGCTTGGGGCTTTCTCAGGAACCAAAGCAAAGCCACATATTCCAGCAGACATTTCAAGCAGCTTGCCGTGGTCAAGTGGGTCACGGTCCATCAGCACAAACCATCAGTCATGGTCCTTCCAGCCGCCTCATCCTCTCCCCCCAGGATGGTGGCTCTCTCCCTGGCCTGGAAGGCCTCCTGCTCCACCTCCAGCCGCCTCATCCTCTCCCCCCCAGGATGGTGGCTCTCTCCCTGGCCTGGAAGGCCTCCTGCTCCACCTCCTGCCTCCTCATCCTCTCCCCCCAGGATGGTGGCTCTCTCCCTGGCCTGGAAGGCCTCCTGCTCCACCTCCTGCCTCCTCATCCTCTCCCCCCAGGATGGTGGCTCTCTCCCTGGCCTGGAAGGCCTCCTGCTCCACCTCCAGCCGCCTCATCCTCTCCCCCCAGGATGGTGGCTCTCTCCCTGGCCTGGAAGGCCTCCTGCTCCACCTCCTGCCTCCTCATCCTCTCCCCCCAGGATGGTGGCTCTCTCCCTGGCCTGGAAGGCCTCCTGCTCCACCTCCTGCCTCCTCATCCTCTCCCCCCAGGATGGTGGCTCTCTCCCTGGCCTGGAAGGCCTCCTGCTCCACCTCCAGCCGCCTCATCCTCTCCCCCCAGGATGGTGGCTCTCTCCCTGGCCTGGAAGGCCTCCTGCTCCACCTCCAGCCGCCTCATCCTCTCCCCCCAGGATGGTGGCTCTCTCCCTGGCCTGGAAGGCCTCCTGCTCCACCTCCAGCCGCCTCATCCTCTCCCCCCAGGATGGTGGCTCTCTCCCTGGCCTGGAAGGCCTCCTGCTCCACCTCCTGCATTTTCGTCTGGATCTCCTCATCCAGCAAGGCCAGCCTCCGGGTGTCCAGGGACAGGGCTGTCTGCTGGGCCTACTCCCTCTCCTTCAGACTAGGGCCCAGGGACCTCCACTGCAGCTGCAGCCGAGCTACACTCTGGTCCACCAGCCACAGCTCTGTCAAGGTCTGGAGCAGGAATTTGGGGAAAGTTTTACAACCCTATTCCAGCTTCATCAGCATTTTCCACCCTGTTCCAACCTCCACCACTATCAGACTCCCAATCACCTTCCTCCTCGGCTTAAAGATTAAACTGTTATACTAAGAGAGGTGAATGAAACTGACATTTTTAACCAGGAGCATTACTGTGGTTCTATTGTTGCTAAGTGATTAACTGTGGTTCTATTGTTGCTGAATGATGAACTGTTGTTCTATTGTTGCTGAGTGATGAACTGTGGTTCTATTGTTGCTGAGTGATGAACTGTGTTTCTATTGTTGCTGAGTGATGAACTGTGGTTCTATTGTTGCTGAATGATGAACTGGGGTTCTATTGTTGCTGAGTGATGAACTGTGGTTCTATTGTTGCTGAATGATGAACTGTGTTTCTATTGTTGCTGAGTGATGAACTGTGTTTCTATTGTTGCTGAATGATGAACTGTGGTTCTATTGTTGCTGAGTGATGAACTGTGGTTCTATTGTTGCTGAATGATGAACTGTGGTTCTATTGTTGCTGAGTGATGAACTGTGGTTCTATTGTTGCTGAGTGATGAACTGTGGTTCTATTGTTGCTGAATGATGAACTGTGGTTCTATTGTTGCTGAATGATGAACTGTGGTTCTATTGTTGCTAAGTGATTAACTGTGGTTCTATTGTATGAGCAGATACAAATACAGGACTGTGTATTGCAAACATGTGGGCTGTACAGTACTTTAACAAATAGCAAGTCACTGCACTGTACTGTGGTACAGCGACCAGCAGATGGCAACATTGAGCTTAGAGCCGAAAGCAGAGAGAGCAAGTTTGTCTTGTAATTCCAAATGTCCTGAAATTCACAGTTCAGATGCAGATCAGGAGAATAGATAAACTAGCTCCTCTAGTCCTCAGATCAGGAGAATAGCTAAACAAGCTCCTCCAGTCCCCTTCCTCCATCTGCAGAAAAAAACCTCCTCCAGAGAACACATGTTCAGAACAGCATCATTCTAGTGCACATCACTGAGATGCTGACAAATACTGCAGCCAGACTTGCAACTAACAGAGAAGGAGGTTTGAATAGGCTTTAATTGCCGAGAACGTGTGAGCAGTAGGCTACTGAGAGCCAAGTCCACAGAATGCATGTTCATGACAGCATGCTTCTACAAAAGACTGCAAAACTTGCAACTAACAGAAAAGGAGGTTTCTTCCACTAGGTTTCAACACTGAGCATGGTAGCTACAGGCAGCCAGGTTATACACCCTTCCTATAACTGAATTGTCTCATGTGCAATGGGGGAGATCATAAGGGTCATTTCCCTGGAAGCCACACAGAGACAGACACACTACCCTCGGGTTCCAGATGTGGCTCTTTTGCTCACTGGGCTGGTTGGCCACCACACTGTGTTCAGTTCACTGGGCCGGTTGGCCACCACACTGTGTTCAGCTCACTGGGCCGGTTGGCCACCACACTGTGTTCAGCTCACTGGGCCGGTTGGCCACCACACTGTGTTCAGCTCACTGGGCCGGTTGGCCACCACACTGTATTCAGCTCACTGGGCCGGTTGGCCACCACACTGTGTTCAGCTCACTGGGCCGGTTGGCCACCACACTGTGTTCAGTTCACTGGGCCGGTAACGTGGTAGATAACGTGGTAGATAACATGGTAGATAACGTGGTAGATAACGTGGTAGATAACGTGGCAGATAACGTGGTAGATAACGTGTGTCACGATCGTCTAATGAGGGAGACCAAGGCGCAGCGTTGCGAGTGAACATATTCTATTTATTAAATGCTCACATGAACAAAACAATAAACAACGAATGCGTGACGTCTATGGTACAACACGAACACACACGAACAAAATCCCACAACCCGAAAGAAAAACAGACAGATTAAATATGGCTTCCAATCAGAGACAACCAGCCGACAGCTGACACTCGTTGCCTCTGATTGGGAGTCACACCGGCAAACATAGAAAATAGACAACCTAGAACACCCACCAAAGAAACAGAAAACATAGAATGAACACACCCTGGCTCAACATAATGAGTCCCCGAGCCAGGGTGTGACAGTACCCCCCCTAAAGGCGCGGACTGCGACCGCGCCTAAATACGAGCAAAAACAGGGGAGGGCTGGGTGGGCATTCCTCCTCGGCGGCGGCTCCGGCTCCGGGCTTGATCCCCACTTCCTCTCCAACCCCCCAAAGTACCCCTGGTCCTGTCTAGCCCCGCTGGCCGGAGCCGGACTGACGACACGCGCCCCTGGCTTGGTGCGTGGAACAGGAACAGACCGGACTGGGCTGACGATACACACCCCTGGCTTGGTGCGTGGAGCAGGAATGGACCGGAATGGGCTGGCGACGCGCACCACAGACTTGGTGCGGAGAGCAGGAACGAGCCGGACAGGGCTGACAAAACGCACCACAGACTTGGTGCGGGGAGCAGGAACAGGCCGGGCCGGGCTGGCGACGCGCACCACAGGTTTGGTGCGGAGAGCAGGAACGGGCCGGACCGGGCTGGTGACGCGCACCACAGACTTGGTGCGGAGAGCAGGAACGGGCCGGACCGGGCTGGCGACGCGCACCACAGACTTGGTGCGGAGAGCAGGAACGG